CATATAAGTTCCAATATAGAATAGCTAGGGTTTACAATTTTAAGTGAAAATATTGAAAAAAATAAACGATGTGTGATTTAAATTAAAAACGTTGTTAAATAAGTTACAATGAGTTACACTTTATAAGCTATTCAAAAAGTTTCATTTGATATATTCTTTGAATATTTTTTTATGTTTAGAATTTACAATTTGTTTGTGAAAATAATTTGCTTTAATCAGATAAACTTTCTTTCATCACTTTGATTGAGGTAATAATAATAGCAAGTTGTTGAAATAAGAAGAAAACACAATTTTATGTACATGCATTTGCAATATGCATCACAATGCTTTTTAAACTATTTCTAATCCTGAAATAAATAAGTACATTTTGATAGATATTGGTTAAATGATATTCTATTTTTATTCATATACCTCAAAAGCGCATCAGACTTCTGAAATATCTTCCGATGTATCATTTCATTACCAAAAGATAAACTTCAATATTAGATAATTAAAATAAAATGAATATTTTTCTTAGTTTTTGTTAAATTGAAATAAATAGATTTAACTTACCATCATCCTTAATGAAGCTATCGATCCTCTATTAAGGCCCACACTTGCCAGTGTTGGTTTTGAACTCTACTCTAGTGAGCCTGGTACATTTGGCCTCATTTTAATTGACCGTAATTTGTCCTAAAACACGCCTAACAATAGCAATGACCAATGCTTATATAGAATTAAACGCAAATCTACTTAAACTTTTCAGGTGAGCTATTGATATGACAATTGATATAAATACTAACATTACTTTACATGGAATTTAAATTTGATCTCATTGATCAAGCACTGTACGGTATGAGCCAGAATTGAACAAATAACCGTTTCATAATGACACTAATCATTATGCGGATATACGCCTTGTTACAGTAGGTTATTTATCTTAAACTGTCGGGTACCAGTAAGCAGGATTTAACTCACTTAGGTCAGAGTCAGTGCAGGTGCCCTACTGTAATAGATATATGTATGATAACAACGCAAATCAATATTTCACCTTATTCATATTTTAAAGCTTCTCTTCAAGAGAATGTATCTGCAGAAAGCCTTTAATGTTTGATTGCATATTTTACCTTGCCAGAGAAATGATACTCAAGCATATCCTAATTTTGTCTTTATTTTTGGCTGTGTGGGTTAGTCTTACTAAAACACGTTAGGATATATGACTTTGTTGAATATTTTAATATATTCCACAGAGATTGCGGATAAGTTTAGCAGAGAAGGTACATGTAGTAAAAAACGAATATTGAGTAGTTTTCAAAAGTCTTTTCTCGTTCTTTCACGTCGATTTTAATTTAAACAAATAGTATTTACAACAGATTGTATAATTTTAATTGGAGTTAATGTCTTTGGAAAAGCCAGGGTAATTTTTTCGGAGTTTAACGTCATCTGAACAGCCAGGTCATACGAAGACAGGTAAATAGAGAAAGAAAATCATGTAATATATATGCAAGCTATATAAATAGCTGATTTTATGTCGCGACACATAAAACCTCCATTATATTTGTGACAGGTATTGTTAAAAGGTTGCTACGAAAAAAGGCCCCTTAGGGTGCCTCTTCCCCCTTCTTGGTGCCTCTCCGTTGTTTTGAGGTTTTTGATTGGCTAAAACCCCCGTTACAATCTGATTGGCTGAAGTCCTCTTTCTTCATCTTTAAGAAAATTTTCAATGGCGCCATTTTGTGGCAGCATCTTTTTAGAAATTAATACCAAATTTGCCTTATTGAAAACCCCACCCTTACATGCCACCCTTAAGCTTTAATATTGTTTGTTTTGTGGTCTATAAATATATGTAGGCGTGGCGTAATTCTGTCGAATCCCCACCTAAGGATGTAAATTGACAGTAAACATCATTTTCATTGTTTGTGTTATGACGCATTATAATAAATTGTCATCTCATGATGGCCTTGTTCAATTCTATATTTGCGTTGAGTTTTATGTGGAGAAAGCATAAAGATATGTATATCGTCTGTTATCAATCAAAATTTAGATTAAGAACAGGGGCAGGAATAGCTGGTCAAAATTTGGTTTAAGACAATTATGTCTATCTGGAATTTCTCAATACATGTAAAAGTGTGCAGTTGCCTATTGAATACAATGCATTCTACCTTAGATTTCTCTAAGTGAGGCTTCAATTAAAGTAGAAGACATCAATTATAAACAATGATGAACTTGACTGTCTACTTTAAGAGTTTTCTGGCTCTTAGACTGTTAGTGACCTAGATATACTTGTTGGGCCACATGTGGCGCAGGAAACGCTTAAAAATGTACAGCACTTGGCTCCCTTCCAGTAAGTAGGCAAGACAAATCAATTAAACACATAATTACCATATCAATTTCTTAACTAGGGTATCTCAAAAATAAGAACCAAATCAGGATTCCTCAGTTATGTAGAAATTACATTGAACAAAAACAAATTGCGTTTAATTATTTTGTTCATTAAATACATATCTTCAGTGAATATGTTTTCCAAAATCCTTCTGGTGACAGAGAGGATCTATATCTGTATTCCCTGGCTGTTTTGTATGACATAATTGGATATGATTTAACTTGTATTAAACCTTCACCAGAAGAATGTACAAACTCATAACAGATGGCCAGACATGTACATGTTGAGGATAACGCAATTTGGTGTTTCTTTGAAGGAATGACACAAATATCAATGACATCCAATGAGTATCTGTTTCGAGTAGAGGCATTGTTTATATAATTGACACACTTTATTAATTATAAATATGGAATGAAAAAGTACTCTTCTCTAAAATTAGAAATTCATACATTTAAAGGTTTTAAGGCGCCTCCTTTTCTGTTTCAACAGTATTTTAGACTAAATTTGATTTCTACCTCTTTGGGTCCACAAAAATAATATGCACCGTTTTACCAGTGGAAACATGTTGAGAATGGCGCCCAACTGCCATGTACATGAAGCACTGGGTTGGACACCAGAAGGGAAAAGGAAACGAGGAAGACCAAAAGAAATCTGGAGAAGGACTGTAGAGAAAGAAATGAAACACCTAGGCTTCTCATCATGGTCAGACGCTGCAAAGAAGGCAAAAGATAGGATGTTGTGGATAGAATTTGTCCATAGCCCTATTTTCACTTGGAGAGAAGGAATTAAGTAAGTTGACATGTGGAAATATAAGCAAATAGCGAATTTGGAAATATCAAATGAAGTTGAATGTCCAATCACCACCTTTTTAATATGCAGTGAGCTAGAGTAGTTTCTAGCACACACCAACAAGTCCTTAATTTTTATCCAAAATATTCACTTAATTTTCAGAACAGACTTACTCATTTTCGAAATCCAAGGTTTCCGTTGGGAAAAAAAACAAAAACACAAAATACCGCAATTTTCGATCTTATATCAATGTCATTGTTACATATGTATATTCAAATTGTCCTTCAAACTCGCTCTTGTCGGGATCCTGTTTAAATATATTATAATTACTTAGTGACAAAATAAGTACAAAAATCAGATTGTCTAAGAAAAGCTTATTTCATAAAGAAGTCGATTTAATTCTGTAAACATCTTCTATAAAATATAAGCTGACAAAACATAAACAAGACTACTTCAAAGGTATATCAAAAGTCGACAGGAATCTCAAAAGTCTACAGGTATATCAAAAGTCGACAGATATATCAAAAGTCGACAGGTATATCAAAAGTCGACAGGTATATCAAAAGTCGACAGGTATCTCAAAAGTCGACAGGTATATCAAAGTACAGAATCTTAATAACAGACCTGATATGTCAGTTGCACATAAAATGTACTACCACGGTAGTATTATGTTTCTAGAATGGGGAATAACACGACTTTCAAATTCGTTTATTGAAAGAAAAGTGATACTTTCATGACATGTTTATTACCATTAACAGGCAGTATTTTCGTGTCAAAAGCCGTTTGTGAAGAATTCAGTTTTTTTTAATAAATAGTCACACTAATGCTTTCTCAAAAGCAATAACAACTACTACATTGTCGTTGTTCTCGACTGCCATCAAATCAAAAGGACCATTTGAATTTGCGTTGAACTTCACAATGAGATAAAATCGCAGATATCGGAAACCATCCTAACCTAATCATTGTTGCTTTGGATATTGTCGACATGTTATAAAACCAAAAAACCAGTATAAATTTACTTTTCCCCACGTGATCTACTTATTTTAGCATTGTAACCTTTGGAAGTGCTGTAAATATATAAGTGGTTTTTTTCTAAACATACACCAAATAAACCAGAACAAACAAATACTCAATGCGAAATATTTTATTTTACATTTTCTGCTTAAGTAATTGCAGCGTAGCAGACATATTTATTTACAATATCAACAACATAATATTAACAAAATTGATTTTCTGATATAAGTCAGATATAGCAATATACGACAATTAAAAAGCAAACTTCTAATCAAATTACGACATAGCGTCCTTAAACTGACGAATTTGGATGTGGCATTTAGTCAAATGAGTGCGAGTATTGACACTTATAGGTATAAAAGCCCCGAGTATGGCTCCCCGTCCATCGTCTGCTTGATAACAGAACTACTCGTTAGTGAAGCGGACGTAAAACCATTCAATCAATTTAGCTCCCTTTCCGGCTCCTCCCCAGTCCTCGTAGAGACGCTGAGAGGACCGGGTTGGGCCAAATTTCCCACAGACCTCGCGGACAAGTCTAGGGGGCAGCTCAAAAAAGGCTCAAAAATTCCAAGGTCATCATACATGAGAAACTCCTTTGATCGCTACCGCCAGATTTGAAGGGCAAATGTCATGTATACAAGAGTAGTAAATAGGTTACCAATCAGAATTTCGATGCTTGCTAATTATTATTGAGAGTTACAAATTTTAGCGGACTACATACACGATTTCAATGTGAACATTGGTTCAGAAAAGGTGGATTAGTATATAATGTAGATACTGAGGTATATATAATGTAGATACTGAGGTATAGATAATGTAGTTACTGAGGTATATATAATGTAAATACTGAGGTATAGGATACTAAGGTAAATATAATGTAGATACCGAGGTATAGATAATGTAGATACTGAGGTATATATAATGTATATACTGAGGTATATATAATGTAGATACTAAGGGATATATAATGTAGATACTGAGGTATATATAATGTAGATACTGAGGTATAGATAATGTAGATACTGAGGTATATATAATGTAAATACTGAGGTATAGGATACTAAGGTAAATATAATGTAGATACTGAGGTATAGATAATGTAGATACTGAGGTATATAAAATGTAGATACTGACCCCAGTACCGGTTATGAAAGCCGTTCAGGCCACTAGATAAATGAGAATGGCCCGTGCCGATACATGTAGCAGAGATTCGCATAGCATTGAGTCACGTTAATGCCCGTTCTCATAAATTACTGAAACAAATCAATCAAACTTTTGGCGTTCGTTGTTTACATTTGACCTCTCAAAACATATATGAATGTATATAAGATATACTATAAATAAATGTTACAACGTCCTGTCGTTGGTGTAGAAAGTTGGTGTAGATTTACCAATGGTCCACTTTCCAGTCTTCGATTCAGTCACACGTTTAGTTGAATTCTCATACGTGGTTCAGAAGAAATCAGTTTAAGTGAAACGATTATTGCTTAATAGACGAATGTGTTATCGGTGTGTCTCGTCTAGACCTATCACTCTTCCTCCTAGCGAATTCAAGTTACCCTTTGTTTTCCTTTCTGTAACATCACGTTATCAACTTTCTGTTGTCAAAACGTTACAATAAACGATAAATTTTGCATTAGTCTGTGATATGTATGGTGTACATGACATATATTGTATGTTTGATTGCTACGTTTGGTTTATATGATGTGCAATTATGGCGTGTATAGTTTGTATGTTGTTAATGGTTTGTATGGCGTGTATTATGTGTTTGGTCTGTATGGAAATAGAAAAATAATTTTGTTCTGATTTTTTAATTTATTATTTATGCGTTTTCCTGATTACTCATACACTGGTGAACAGTTTCTGGGTTTCAAAAATCTGATTTGAAACTAACTTAATTCCCTCTTTCTGCCATCTTAATGTAGTTTAGCATTGATAGAATAATGTAGTTCTACTGCTTGTTCATAGTACAGGAAGGGGACTGCAGTCTCCTTTCAGTTGAGGTCGTGCTGCTAAGTGTATCCAGCACTTCCCTGCTACGCTTCCCGGTACCTTCGTCAATCCCTTCACAGATGAGTTCAGTGTCTCCGAACGTGATCCTGACCTTTGCACTCCTCTTCTTGCCAAGGGACGTGTTCGGCATGTCCACATTAATTCGTCCGAGATAGGAACATCCTTTATCGGTCACGTAGACAGGTTCTTTTGCCGTTGATTTGTAGATATCTACACACATTCTGGTAAGCTCTCCACGGACAGGACTGAGCTCAATATCCTGACCTTCTCCGAGCATGTAGGACATCCCGACTTCGGCTATCTTACCGAAGCAGTCACCACAGTATTTTTGCCCATCAATGTAGGTTTCCTTTTCTGGAGAATCATAACCTTCCAGAAAGTGCCTGTAAGATCTAGTACCGTAGGTGAATTTAGAAATGCGTTCTTTAACCACATTGGGATTCTGGCCATAAAGCACGGCGCCTTTCAGAACGGCAAGTCCTGCTTCTTTTGGGACAACAACACATTTGGTGGAAAATACTTTAGTAATTGTCTCTTTAATGATCTTTGAATCCGCAAATCCACCGACTAAAATGATATCTACTAAATCTGACGCCTCCGGCAGTGTCAAAAGATCCTCCCTCAGATGCTTTACAATGTTGTCAACGGCTGGTTTGAAAAACCCGGCTACAAGTTCCTTATCTATACGTAAATGACCTCTTTGTATGTCCACCTTCCCCGGATGTTTGGACTCGAATGTTAATTTATTTGTTAGTTTAGCACCGTTGTTTAAATCTGCATACACTTCCATCAGAGCTGCAGGCAGGGGAATCATTATCCTACCTTGTCTATCGCCTTCTAAATGACGTTTCTTCATTTCGATGGACCGTTCTAGCTCCAGGTAATCGGCCTTGTGATTCAAACGTAGTTCCGAAAGGACATTGTCACCGACAAGCTCTGAGATAAACGCAAGGAAATTGGCGTTGACACCCATCCCTCCCCAGGCGCCACCGGTGGCCTGATGGACCTCTCTAAGAGTCCTGTCTTCTAGAACCTGTCTTATCGTTATGTCGACAGTACCACCTGTAAGAATTAAACGACTCCATAATTAATCAAATAGGCAATCATTATGTAACAAACAATGATAAAAGAAAGACAACAAGTGCGTATAAATGACGATTTTGCTGTTAAAACTTAACTAAATCATCGGTTAAGAATGATTTCCTTAAAAATCTTATTTTGGATTTTTCAAATTACCGCGAGCTTTAATACGAGTGGCGGAAGAAGCTGCAAACATATTGCTTTAGCAAAATTATGACATAAACAAAAATGAAACAAAATAAAACGAAGTGGTACTTTTACATAAAAAGCAAGTATGTTTCTGTGATATGCAGTCAAGCATTTAACGCGATATCACCATATTTTTCAAAGTTATAAGAAATGCGTAACGAGCTGAAAATATTGAATTATTTTGATGGATAAGGAACTCCAAAGGCCCTGGATAATTATTTTTTACGATGATAGACTATTGCTTAAAAGCAGATGTAGATACTGAGCAACGACCCGATTAAAATTAATACTATAAAATGATAATATTTGATTTTTTATGTTTTTTTGTATAAATGTGAAAATTGGGTTATCTGTTAGCTAGACACTGCCAATACTTCCAAGAAACAGACTATAATCCTTCTAGCTACATTCTTCTCCCCAAGTTTTTTTAAAGTGGGGGAAACGAGAATAAGCCCTAATTCAGTACCATCGAAATAAAACACATTTCAAATATCACAAAATATTTTTAAGAAAATGAACTCGCAAAACTGAAAATAGAAACAAATATGATATGTTAAAATACCTCCTAGATCCACTACCATATATTTAGTTCCCGGATCATATGGTGCCAGGAAAGCAGTGCCATCTTCATTGAACTTCCGCTGGGACAGTTGCTCCTTCGTGAAGATTGACGCAGCTTCCGGTTCCAATGCAATTACCAACTGGAATCTCTCAATGCCTGCCTGAAGTATATAATTAGTACGGAGACTGTGGAAATGACACCTCAATGAGATTACTACATACAAGTAGATAACACCATAGTAAGGACACAAAACGACGACAAAATATAACCAAAAAAATCAAGGAAACCTAAACAAGAGAACCAAAAACATCATATACTGTGAACTCACTAATTTCCGTTTTTTTTTTAATTTCGTTGATTTCATGGGTACTTTACATCCACGAAATCAAAGGTCCACGAAGTAATAACCAGTTTGATATAAAGAGATATTCCATTTGAGTTGGTACTCGTAATCCACGAATTCATGTACCCATGAATGGTGGTTTGTCGCGAAACCATGAAATTTGGCTACACGAAAACATTATTTCACAGTAGTCAATCCTAACTGTCATACCAGAAGTATGTTGAACTACTTAATTGTACTTGTACTAAACTAGTTTTCCTCCATCAAATTCAATAAATGAGTTGTCGGCCAAATAATTGATATAACAGTATTTGAATTTGCTAGTTTAAAACAAGGACAGATTTGCTCAAATCACTGAAACATGTCTATAGCATAAAGGCAGCCAAGACATTTTTACAAATGTTGTAGAAACCAAAGGACTCTATATAATTAATAATAATAACAATTCGAGGTTCGTATATGCCGCTTTATCACATCCTAGTTCTTAGGTCGTCTCGAAGCGGTTCATAAATTATCATCCGTGGTTATGGGGCCTTTGCAATCAGCCAATATCTTTCTCAGCTGCCTAGGGAGCATACAGCCGATGCTGCCATTTCGGCACTCACAGCTAGCATTCAAAAATTCTAGCACTGCCCAACCACGAACTCATTTACAGCCGTGACGCGACTCGAACCTGCAACCTTTCGATATAAATGTCAACTGGACAAAAACAAATTCAATGAAGCGCATTATCACTTCATGTTGGATATGTGTATGTTCAGTTGGAATTCATATTGCCTATGAATGCCAACTAAGAGCAGTTCAATTATTATGTTTACCAATTTTGGGAACCTGTTCACCCATAGAAAATTCAACTACGCTTACTATTATTGGACATTTCGTTCAAATAATATTATCGTTTATGATTATTCAGTGAATAGAACAACCATCGCCCAGGGAGTGTCAGTGGTATCCATCGTAATAATAATGACGTCATGATATTAATGACGTCAGAAATCGGTCCATGTCATTCATAGTCTATTTAGTGGCAATGTCATACGATGGTAAATATTACTCAATATTCCGGGGTATTCAACTCTAATTACCTGTTCGGCAGCCTCCCTCATGAACTGTTTAGCAGAATCTCCCCAGATGGCAGGCATGGTAATCACCCATCTGACCTCATTCGCTCGGATAAGATCCCCTTTGGTTTTCAATGTCTTCATTGTTTCATCCCGGAGATACTTAATGCACTCCGTGAACACCAGCATAGCAGGCAGGGCATGGCCTTGCTCGTCTTTAATCTCAGCATCCCTCTTTAACCCCTATATAGGATTGTACAAATATTCATCACTATTAAAATGTTTATACTCAAGATTCGTGATGTGAAAATCAGAATTATTCGATTCGAACTAATATGAAAATGGCCTGCACAACACCTACAACGTCATATTTCTAGAATCGGAATTGAACTATTTACATACAGTTGTTGGATCGCACAACGTTACACGATGTGCGGTGTGCGCACGATGTGTGCACGGTGTGTGAACGGTGTGTGCACGATGGGCGAACGATAAAAAGCTGGACGATCATTGCTTGCGCACATCTGTGCGCACGATGGACGGACGTTGTGCGATAACAATCGTGGTTGGTGTAAATTGAGGAATGCCTTAACAATTTATACGGTTTCGTGTTAAAACATATAAACTTGATGTTTACGTTTGTTTCTATATTCTAGCAACATCTATAAACTTATCTTTCTGTCTATACATTCTTATATTTAGAAATAGTGTTTTCTGTGTTTTTAAACAAACTTAATCGACACATGTAAAATTACAACACAATCCCGTATACAGGTAAACATAACCACTTTGTACATGTACCTGGACCGTAGTTTTCTCCCCGCCTGGGGTAAGGCCGGGGTGTGTGAAAATCTAGGTGAAGGGGAGCTATAGGCAAACGAATGCAAATAACAAATAATATTCATTACGGTCAAACGGTATCGCATATCAGCTCTGTGTGTCAGGCACTGGTCAGGTAAAACTCCGGACACTCATAAAATTGTTATTTACCTGTTCTATTGCCTTGGAGCCAAACCCATTCTTGACACCCTAACGGTCGCTGTAATACTGTGTAACACGCATTGTGAAATTGTATAATCTTGATTATTGTGATGAGAAATTGCAGATATATACACAGTGTACATACCTAATTTTTGTCATTCCGTAATTTTCTATCTACAAATGATACCAAATCGCACACGGGGCGAACGATTGCTAAATCGCACATTTGTGCGCACCATGTGTGGGGAATGTGCGGACTGTGTGTGAACGATGTATGCACGGTGTGTGCACGCTATTTTTGGTGCGTTGTGCGGTCCCACAACTGTACTTATATATTCATCAAAGACACATCATCAATTCATATGAAAGAAAAAAAAAACTTACGCAAAGTTGATATTATTTTATCGAAAAGAGTAGACACAAAAAGAAAAGGAACATATGTTTAATCGCCACACACAAAAAAAGAGAAACAAAACTAGGCGCTTCCGAAAGGTAATCGTACGACAAGTGGCACCCGTCATGTGGTGTTCAGGAAAGCATCGTGTCAACAACGATGTAAGAGAATGTACAAGTCTTTAAGCACGACAGACATTAAAATATCATCAGCAAAAAATAGGATTTTGATGACATCTGTTACATTTTAGCAACATAGATAAAACAAATAAACCATAACGTTAATACGGTGGAAAGGAAAGGGAACTTTATAGACTTTATTGCTATAAGTTGTCATAGCTAGATAATTCTAAAACCGGGATATGAATTATGGACGCTGACTGACAACGTGAACCTACATCTTGAAATTCTTGATATTGGAAGGTTGATAGTCCAGGTATAGATTCACATTTCATAAAGATAGAAAAATAAATATGACACCCCTTACTTCGTCTGTATGAAGTAGCATCTTGAAGTTCTTGAAGTACCGATATCCATAATGGGCGTTTTCCTCGGCTAGTTCCGCATACTGGTCTTCTGCGTCATAGCCGAAAGCCTCAAATGATTTATTGGAAGTGAGGAGGAGGCAGGTCGGGGTCTTGTGTGACATCACTCCTGTTCCCTTCGTACTTTGCCATACTTTTGCGTCAATCTGAAGTGGCTGACGCTCGTAATCCCCAACAAATGAGTATGCGACTCCCGAGAATGTCGTTCCAAAGTCAATAGCAGCCACTGCTAACATCTTAGGACGTACGGGACTAAAATGTCAGGTAAAATAAAATGTCAAAATACAGCAATAGCATTTACACACAAAGACAAATAAACTACATATTCTCTACGCATAAGAATAAAATATACCATGACGTTAACACACCAAGACCAAAATGGTTTTGGGTCACCTGCCCCGACAACGTAGGCTTTCTCCGGGTACTCCGGTTTCCTCCAATGTTAAGACCTTCTTCCAAGATAGAAGATCTTCTGTCGCGCTACCATCCGGGCAAATAAGACTGATTGATATAAGTTAGAAAACTCGTTTCATAAATATTGTAAAATATTTTTTTATAAATTTATATTGCAAAACACACCAGGACAATATTCTGTTCCTGATATCAAATTTGAACTCCAAATCGGTATGAAAAGACAACAATAGGATCTTCGGAGACACAGAATTAAGGAAAGACGTTCTGAACTTCCTCAACGAAGTGTTGTACCAAAGTTTCAGCATTATTTCAAGATTTCAAGATTTCAAGATTTGTATTGACTCTGCTATAAAGATGTAAGATAAAACATGCTACATTCATTATAGTGTGACAGTGTCTAGGTTCACCCTTCGGATATCACTGTCGCCCTTGGCTTCGCCTCATGTGACAGGAATACCTTCGGGGTGACCCTAGGCACTGCCACATTATTGTTGTATTTATTTTATTATACCGAAAGTCAACATGGCGGCTGAAACGAACCGTACTCGCATCTGCTTTGTGCGGTCACTATTTTGCACTGTCACACACATTGTCATTCGTTACTAGGGCGTTGGGAAGCACCTTTCCATTGACTCAATTTTAAAGTGAATGTGAATGTGAATGTGCGGAATGAAGAATTTGTCTTGACCAATCAGATTACACGATTTTCACTAGAGGTATGATAGAATATAATACGATATACATATAACAACATGCATGAGTGATAAAGTAGTACACAACAACAAATATGTAGTCTTATTCCTTTTGACAATTTTGAACAAATTAAAGTAATAATTGATTGTCTAAATACATTTATGGTTAAATATACCACAATATGATAAAATCCATGTCGACAGCCGGAGGCCAGAATTATTGTGCAATATATGCAATATTTTTAGTCAGCTATATACGCAACCAAATCATACTCATAACATATAAACAATCATAGTCTGCGCCCGTCAAAACAATTAATAATCACTTTTCCTTTTCACCGAAATCCTCAATATTATCCCATTGTTCGTTGCGCTTTCACAGTTGAATCGGTATTCGGAGAGACTGAACTGGGATTAAATGTAATGTAAGCAGTATACCATGTTATATCAGTGCTAAATATAAAGCGAATTCATTTCTGTATTTGTGTTTCAAAAACTAGTGCAGATTTAAAATATAAGTGTAAATACTTACGCAGGGGTGTCGTATATCACTCTTTCAACCACACTTTTTATATTGACGCAGTGATCTTCCTCGTCATCGTCCCTACTATATACATTACTGGCCATTTTTGTCACCGGTTTATGCGCCCCTTTATACACCCTGTAAATGTAAACGGACTTGATCAATATTGCAATGGTGATGAAAAAGAACACATTCTTTTATTCAGCATGTATTTTTCTAAGGATCTCACTGTATATTTTTATTTTGTTCTAATTCTACCCTAGTTTTATCAATTTTCAGTTACAACATCGTGAAATACTAGATATTTTTCCATTTGTCCATTCTCCTTACTACTGCCCGTGTCCTTATCTACAGTCCATATCCCTAAATACTGTTCATTCTCCTTACTAATGTCCGTGTCCTTATCTACAGTCCATGTCCCTAATTACTGTCCGTTCACCTTACTACTGTCCGTGTCATTATCTACAGTTTATGTCCCTAATTACTGTCCATTCTCATAACTACTGTCTGTGTCCTTATCTGCAGTCCATGTCCCTATCTACTGTCCATTCTCCTTACTACTGTCCACGTCCTTGTCTACAGTCCATGTCCCTAACTACTGTCCATATCCCTAACTACTGCACGTGTCCTTATCTACAGTCCATGTACCTAATTACTGTCCATTCCCCAAACTACTGTCCATGTCGTTATCTACAGTCCATGTCCCTAACTACAGTCCATGTCCCTAACTACTGTTTATGTCCCAAACTACGGCCAATGACCTTATCTATAGTCAATGTCCCTAGTTACTGTCCATTCTCCTTAGTACTGCATATTAACACCGTCTAATATAGTGCCATCTGCAAACAGCTTTGATATGGTGTGATACACATGTATTGTTTACCCGAACTCTTTGTTTTAAAATATTGACAATAAGATAAGTTTACACTAGCCAAACAAACGAATAAAAATACCTTTGCTCTTTTTCATAGCTGTGAATAAAAGAGAATGTTCAAATAAAGTACCGAAACAAATAATATCTTACGACTCATATCATTCATCTGCTGCGTTTATGCCATGATAATATTGACGATTTGACCTAGTTATACAATCCTTTATTCATTTTACATGACTCTCTTTTGTTCACTTCTTTACTTGTTATATTAGTAAAAAATCGATACTGACGTCATGAATGCAACAATAAGTATATATTGTTAATGTTTAAATAGCGTACCAATTAACCGAGAATATATTTATGTCAGTTGCCGTCTTTGTTAGATATAACAAAAGAGTGACGTCATGCGTCTAATTGAGAACGTCCCCCGACGAAAAACTGGACAAAGAAGATATAAAAAAAAATGTAACCATGTTGCGCAAAAGATACCTGCGCTCAATATACTAAACCACAGAAAACATATTCTCTTAATTATCTGGAATAGTGGTCATAACACAGCAACAAATTTATCAGACAGGAACTTTAATGAAAATACGTGTTTGTGTGTCATACATTTAAAAGTCGATTGTTAGGGCTATCTCCTTTGTTAGGGTTATCTCCTTTTTTAGGGTTATCTCTTTTGTTAGGGTTATCTCCTTCGTTATGCTTATCTGATTTGTTAGGGTTATCTCCTTTGTTAGGGTTATCTCCTTTGTTAGGGTTATCTCCTTCGTTATGGCTATCTGATTTGTTAGGGTAATCTCCTTTGTTATCCTTTGTTAGGGTTATCTTATTTGTTAGGGTTATCTCGTTTGTTAGGGTTATCTCTTTTGTTAGGGTTATCTCGTTTGTTAGGGTTATCTCCTATGTTGGGGTTATCTCCTTTGTTAGGATTATCTCCTTTGTTAGGATTATCTCCTTTGTTAGGGTTATCCCTTCGTTAGATTTTATCTCCTTTGTTAGTAGTATCTCCTTCATTAGGGTTATCACCTTTGTTAGGGTCATCCTTCTCATCTGGTTACTTCCTTTGTTATTATTATCTCTTTTTTTTGAGATTTTCACTTTTGGAAAAGGTAATCTCTTTTTGGGGTTATCATTTTTGTTAGGGTTATTTTTTTTATGAGTGTTCTCTTTTTGTTATCTTCGTTTTTAGAATTACATCGTTGTTACATTGTTAATTCTTATATTATCATTATCACTGTTGTGAAAGTTGTCTGATTTGTTCATTTTATCTCTTCTGTTAGGGTTATCACACTTGTTAGGTTATTTTTTTAATGTTTTCTTCTTTATTCGGGTTATCTCTGTTGTTATGGTTATCTCTTTTGTTAGGTTGTCTCTGTAGTTAGGGTTATGTCTGTCGTTAGGGTTATCTCTTTTGTTAGGGTTGTCTCTGTTGTTAGGGTTATCTCTTTTGTTAGGGTTGTCTCTATTATTAGGGTTAACTCGAACGTCTCTGATCAACAACCTATGTAGGTATATTATTCATTTATAAATTATAGATACTACATATGAATTTAAATGCGTCTATTGATTATTCGGCTTTACACTTTGTAGCAAGTAGGTGTTTATGATATAGAAAAAACTCCTTTGAAAAGTTATGCATGTCATCTTCTTATCGTATTATCTTTGAAGAAGTTTCCCTGGAACGATATATTCAGTGATTCACGTACTTGCGCAGAATAGGTAATAAATCATGTCCGAGGAAGATAAAAATATTTATAACCAAAACCCCAACACACACTGACAAGTTAAACAATCAGAATCGATTTCAAGTGATAACATCTGACCCCGATGAAAAGACGTCCATTAAAAGGATGGGTGCCAATATCTTAGGGTTATGCCGTCATGATATGACATGAAATTAAGGTCAGCTTGCATTGGAGACCATTCCGAGATATGAGTGGGTAAAGTGGGGGACCAAAATCACAAATGGTCTCCTTTTCTTCATAAGTTTGATGCATTGTGTAACACTCAAGCTGTAAATTATAAAAATGGCTGACAAGGGGTAACACATAGTGGAAAACTAAGTATTTATATACATGTGTTGTTGTTCTAGTGTAATATATCTGAAAGTAGGATACACTGAGTGGTGTACATTTGATAAATACATATACATAGTACTTTGGAGATATTTAGTTGGTCTTTTACACTTAATCATGTACAATGCTTACCGGTGATCTTGCGCATATATTGTGAATATTTACGTTACTACCTTAGGGTATCGACCGAGTTCTAGTTTCTTACCCGGAATATTGTTCGATTTCCAATTAAACTTATATGTGCTGGAGCTTTTATGAATTGATACATTTGTGATGATGACGTCGTCGACGACAACAACGACAACGACAACGACGACGACGACAATGATGATGATGATGATGATACACAAATCGTCATTATTTATGAATATTGGTTTACTGGTATGATCTTCTGATAGACTGGTAGCTTTTCTATATAAGGTGCGGTGCGTACGACAAGAAGTACTTAATTATATATATATGCATACATGATTAAGGTGGCCTGGTAGGACTTGTTACAACAAATTACACGATGAAATCTTCAAAAGAAAGACAGGATCAACACACAATATCAAAATTCGAAGTCAAAACTGATCTGAAAAGAACTTAACTGCGATGAAACATCTGAAGGTCGAGGTCCACCTCCCTGTCGCCATTGAGTTATTATTTAAAGACAACGCACATTTAGGTTTATCATTACACTTGTTTACTTTGAAAAAGATACAAATAAAAAGATGGCAGTCTAGCATAGCCACTAGAAATTAAATACAATATAATGAAGCTTCTGTACTAATTACTTTGTCGGTGCAGAAAGCCAAAGACTGCACCATATGGCTATTATATACATAGATATACATAATAAACATTGATTAACACAGCTATATGTAAAAGTACAAAACACCTGATATGACAGACATTTCGACCATGTTCAGCATTATTTTGAATATGTGTTATCGCCAAAGGCAATAAAAAGACTAGTCCAGGTATGGAGGCCGATCAGGTTCTGGTTAAGTATTATTATTATTATTTTAATAACTAAACTCAAACGCCTGTGGCTTATATTGATTCCTAAGATGGGAAATCTCTATCTAACCCAGAAAAAAACTACTGGTTACTTGACAACCGTGTTATGTAACAAGTGCATATATGTGTAATTTGTTATTACATTGTGAAGTCGGAAAGACATCGCACGACATTGGAACTTCGCTCTGGATACAACAGCCATGCTAAAAACTATGAATCGTAATTTCGTTTCATCTTCGTATGAGAATATGAAACTCTGGCGCCCCGACGTTTTCATTTAAGTTGGGCAGAGCCTCGCTAAACTCAAACCTACTTTCGTTTTGCACAGCTAATATATACAGTAAATAGAGACTCATTTAAGATTTTAGTTGTCTCAGTCGTCCTCTGTCTAACCGAACTAATTGAAAGAGTACGTAAAATCACACAAACAAACAAGGGTAAGTGGTATTATATATATGTGTGTATTGATAACTTGTCGAGTAAAAAATATCTGCACGTTGCTATCGCCTCCCTGTTACCAGGAAGTTGTTTAGTATATCTCCAAAAATTCGTGGTAGACTAAGGCGTAATCGTTTAAAATATACCGTTAAATGTGTTATCGTCTAAAGAATTAAATGTACACTACAACATAATAGTCAAGCAATTATAAACCAACTGTAAAGTTAAACGATTACAGTAGCATTGCACACTCGGATTTGCATACAATGAACACACAACTATATATGACGTCACATGCATAAATAGATGCTATGTTTTATCTAACCAATATCTGTACATAAAAGTTCCCCACAAACTTGCCAAGTTTTCCTAGAGAGACAAATTTACGTATATACGTACCTGACAGTCTTGTTGCAGTCAATCAGGTAGCCCGGTTTTACCTGTACAGATATACCTGTCAGCTTGTTTACTGTTGACGTCACATTACATGGGTATTACTGTTTACAACAGATAGCCACCGTAGACGTACCTGACTAGTCATCTGATCATTACAATGTATGTTACTGTATATAACACTTATGTGCCTATCTGTGTCCCCGCAACGTTCTTGTATATCAGATGTACAACTGGAATAGATATATATATAAAAGAAAAAGACAAGGCAAGAGTTTCTTCGACTTCCCTATATATATATAGAGAGAGAGAGAGAGAGAGATATAATTAAATCTCATTTGACAACCCACAATACGCTTTCAAGTATTTTACTCCAATATCTCATTCATACATATTTTATTATGAAACGGCAGGACGGAAAGTAAACATATTACATTATCTATACCTTCTTTAAACCAGTGAGTTGAAAGACTCTAAGTAATAAAGAAATACAATCAGTCAACTCAACATTATATATGTCTTACCTATACCTGTATTTAATGTGTCTATGTTACAAATGTTGCTTTCACACACAAAAGATTGAAATCTTCCAAGTTGACCTGCAGTCCAAATTGAACAAAATATCGATTTCATTTTAAGAATGCATGCCAAGACAAGCAAATGCTTAGTGTTCTGATGTGTTTATGGGTTTATTTTCTCTGTGTATAATAAGATAACCCATCATGGTTTAAAGCGGGAAAACAGAATAACAAAATCCTCATCTCGTCCGAGTTCGATTGCATATATAAAACTGGTTAATGGTTTTAAACAACAAGAATGTATATATATATATATTATTCGTCGTTCGACAAACAGAATATAATTAGCATATGTCTAGGCATTTGTGATTTCTATTAAACTATATCAAACAGTTTCCTTTCACGATCATGGGTGATGGGTTATAAAATTATAAAATTTGAAATGTGGTAATTTAGTGTGTAAAAAGTGTCATTTTATAGCAGCTGTTCCGGAAAAATTATGTACTTGTCGGTAATTTCCATGCAAATAACTCTTTTAGTTTGTTGTTAAAAATCGGCGTGGACTTTTTTTACTGTTCGTTCAAAATGACATTTGATGAGGTTTTCAATACGAGATTTTGTACACAATATTAATTATATATTACACAAATGGGCATTTCAAGTATGTATCACACTCACAGAAAATACTAAACTAATGATACTCTTACGAAGATATTCTTCTAATGTTATGGGTTCCTTTTGTAATTCCGATAGATTCAAATTCTTTATCCGATAGGGCATAACATGATATACCTTCATCCAAAACTGTTTTGTGTGTGTTATACTGTTCATACAACATGTCTAAACTGATTGGTTATAATTCTTTGAAAAGTACTTTCCTACGAACACTTTAGTCTCATATAATCTTTTTATCCATTTGATCTAGAGGTATCTCACAGAGGATGTGATATGTGTCATAGTAAGGCACCCTTTCTCAATACTAGCAATGCGTGTATCGATTTTACTCCTTTCATACTTAAAGTTCTATATGAAACTTGAACTGTCGCATATGGGCTAACTAATACCCCCTCCCCCCCCCCTCCCCCTGTGACCTTTGACCCAATAACGCTACATATACTCCAAGGTATGTGTATACAAAATACCTACCGTTTCTGCTATAGTTAGTTAGCCATTTCAGTAACATAATGCATCTGTGATCTTTGACCTTTGAACTCATGACCTTGGAAGTTTGTCACAATAACCTACCGTTTCCGAGATATTTGTGACTAAGGGGCCTCTGAGTCCACGACCCCGGAAGTTGTCAGCAGATCTAGAGTAATTAGATTGTATCAATGCCTTCCATCTTTCAATGTATATGTGTATACAAAATACCTACCGTTTCAGAGAAATTAGGCCATTTCAGTAGCATAATTAATTCGTGACTTTTGACCCGATGACCTCAGAAGTTTGTCAGAAGGGTAGCTTACGTTAATGCCTACAATATTCCAATGTATATGTGTATACAAAATACCTACCATTTCCGAGATGTACCATCTATAGAAGTCAAGGGTCATAACTCAGGTAAATATTGAAGGAACATACTGGCATTCTGGGAGACACAAGTTCGTTTGAGGTATAACATGTGTAAAGTTTCATTAGGCCTAGGAGGAGTAGGATGTACACATAGAAACTTGTAACTTCTGTATTTCCTAGCTGTTTTGTCTGATATACTTGGATATAGCTTGTATTAAACCTCCATGTACACACTCATAACAGATGGTCAGACTTTACATGTTGAGGGTAATGCAATTGGGTGTTTCTTTGAAGGAATGACGCAAATATCAATTGCATCCAATGATTATCTGTTTCGAGTAGTGGCATTGTTTATATAATTGACACACTTTATTAATTATTATTGTGAAATGAACCGGTTCTCCTCTTTAAAATTAGAAATCCATACAACGAAAGGGTTTGACGCGCCTCCTTTTCTGTTTCAACAGTAGTTTAGACTAGTTTGGATTTCTACCTTTTTGTGTCTTCTTTTGTTTTTATTTTGTAAAACCACAAAACTGATATGAACCGTTTTACATGTGGAAATATGTCGAGAATGGCGCCCAACTGCCATGCACGTGTATCACTGGGTTGGATACCAGAAGGGAAAAGGAAACGAGGAAGACAAAAAGAAGAAAACTGGAGAAGGACAGTAGAGAAAGAAATGAAACACCTAGGCCCCTCATCATGGTCAGACGCGGCAAAGAAGGCAGAAGATAGGATGTTGTGGAGAGGATTTGTCCATAGCCCTTTTTTCACTTGGAGAGAAGGAATTAAGTAAGTTGACATGAGGAAATATAAGAAAATAGAGAATTTGGAAATATCAAATGAAGTTGAATGTCCAATCACCACCTTCTTAATTTGCAGTGAGCTAGAGTAGTTTCTACTTGCACACTCCAACAAGTCCTTAATTTTTATCAAAAATATTCACTTAATTTTCAGAACAGACTTACTCATTTTCGAAATCCAAGGTTTCCGTTGGGTAAAAAAAACCCACAAATTACGGCAATTTTCGATCTTATATCAATGTCATTGCTACATATGTTTATTCAAAATGTCCTACAAACTCGCCCTATAATTACTTAGGGACAAAATAAGTACAAAAATCAGGTTGTCTAAGAAAAGTTTATTTCATAAAGAAGACGATTTAATTCTGTAAACATCTTCTATAACATATAAGCTGACAAAACATAAACAAGACTACTTCAAAGTCGACAGGTATATCAATCGACAGGTATATCAAAAGTCGACAAGTATATCAAAAGTCGACAGGTATATCAAAATACAGAATCTTAATAACAGACCTGACATGTCAGTTTCACATACAATGTACTACAACGGTAGTATTATGTTTCTAGAATGGGGAATAACACGACTTTCAAATTCGTTTATTGAAAGAAAAGTGATACTTTCATGACATGTTTATTACCATTAACAGGCAGTATTTTCGTGTCAAAAGCTGTTTGTGAAGAATTCAGTTTCTTTAATAAATAGTCACACTAATGCTTTCTCAAAAGCAGAAAAATTCTACATTTTCGTTATTCCCGACTGCCATCAAATCAAAATGACCATTTGAATTTGCATTGAACTTCACAATGATGTCAAATCGCAGAGATCAGAAACCATCCTAAGTTAATCATTATTGCTTTAGATATTGTCGACGTGTTATAAAACCAAACACCAGTATAAGTTTACTTTTCCCCATGTGACCTAGTTATTTTAGCATTGTAACCTTTGGATGTGCTGTAAATATATAAGGGTTTTTTTCTGAACATACACCAAATAAACCAGAACAAACAAATACTCAATGCAAAATATTTTATTTTACATTTTCTGCTTAACTAATTGTAGCGTAGCAGACATATTTATTTACAATAACAACAAAATAACCGAAAGCAATTTTGATTTTCTGATGTAAGTCAGTTATAGCAATATACGGCAATTAAAAAGCAAACTTCTAATCGACATTTACGACAATTACGACATAGCGTCCTTAAACTGACGAATTCGGATGTGGCATTTAGTCAAATGAGTGCGTGTATTGACACTTATAAATATAAAAGCCCCGAGTCTGGGCTCCCAGTCCATCGTCTGCTTGATAACAGAACTACTCGTTAGTGAAGCGGACGTAAAACCAATCAATCAATCAATTAAGCTCCCTTTCCGGCTCCTCCCCAGTCCTCGGAGAGACGCTGAGAGAACGGGGTTGGGCCAAGTCCCCCCACACCTCGCGGACAAGTCAAGGGGGCAGCTCAAGAAAGGCCCAAAAAATGTCCAAGGTCGAAACTCCTTCGATCGCTACCGCCAGATATGAAGAGCAAAGGTCATGTATACCAGAGCAGTAAACAGGTTACCAACAGAATTTCGATGCTTGCTTATTATTATTGACAGTTGCAAATTTAAGCGGACTACAAACACGATTGCAATGTGAACATTGGTTCAGAAAAGACACGTTAAACAGGTATGGTCAGGAAATGTTTCTTTGTCTAAGCCCAGTTTTTGGTGGATTAGGTATGTATAACGTAACACTGAGGTATATATAATGTAGATACTGATAAGATACTGACCCCAGTACCGGTTATGAAAGTCATTCATGCCACTAGATAAATGAGAATGGCCCGCGCTGATACATGTAGCAGAGACTCGTCTAACATCGAGTCACGTTAATGCCCGTTCTCATAAATAACTGAAACAAATCAATCAAATCAACTTTTGGTGTACATGACATTGTATGTTTGATTACTACTTATGGTTTATATGATGTGCATATTGTGGAAGCGTAGGTTTTGTATGGGGTGTATAGTTTGTATGGCATGTAGTGGTTTGTATGTTGTTAATGGTTTTTATGGTGTGTATTATGTGTTTGGTCTGTATGGAAATAGAACAATAATTATGCTCTTATATTTTAATTTATTATTAATGCGTTTTCCTGATTACTCATACACTGGTGAACAGTTTCTTGGTTTCAAAAATCTTATTTGAAACTAACTCAAATCCCTCTTTCTGCCATCTTAATGTTTTTAGCGTTGATAGAATAATGTAGTTATCCTGCGTGTTCACAGTACAGGAAGGGGACTGCAGTCGTCTCCTTTCAGTTTAGGTCGTGCTGCTAAGTGTGTCAAGCACTTCCCTGCTACGCTTCCCGGTACCTTCGTCAATTCCTTCACAGATGAGTTCAGTGTCTCCGAACGTAATCCTGACCTTTGCACTCCTCTCTTTACCCCGGGACGTGTTCGACATGTCCACGTTAATGCGACCGAGATAGGAACAACCTTCATCGGTCACGTAGACAGGTTCTTTTGCCGTTGATTTGTAGATATCTACACACATTCTGGTAAGCTCTCCACGGACAGGACTGAGCTCAATATCCTGACCATCTCCGAGCGTGTAAGACATCCCGACTTCGGCTATCTTACCGAAGCAATCACCACAGTACTTTTGCCCATCAATGTAGGTTTCCTTTTCTGGAGAATCAAAACCTTCTAAAAAGTGCCTGAAAGATCTAGTACCGTACGTGAATTTAGAAATGCGTTCTTTAACCACATTGGGATTCTGGCCATAAAGCACGGCGCCTTTAAGAACGGCAAGTCCTGCTTCTTCTGGGACAACAACACATTTGGTGGAAAATACTTCAGTTATTGTCTCTTTAATGATCTTTGAATCCGCAAATCCACCGACTAAAATGATATCTACTAAATCTGACGCCTCCGGCAGTGTCAAAAGATCCTCCCTCAGATGCTTTACAATGTTGTCAACGGCTGGTTTGAAAAACCCGGCTACAAGTTCCTTATTTATACGTAAATGACCTCTTTGTATGTCCACCTTCCCCGGATGTTTGGACTCGAATGTTAATTTATTTGTTAGTTTAGCACCGTTGTTTAAATCTGCATACACTTCCATCAGAGCTGCAGGCAGGGGAATCATTATCCTACCTTGTCTATCGCCTTCTAAATGACGTTTCTTCATTTCGATGGACCGTTCTAGCTCCAGGTAATCGGCCTTGTGATTCAAACGTAGTTCCGAAAGGACATTGTCACCGACAAGCTCTGAGATAAACGCAAGGAAATTGGCGTTGACACCCATCCCTCCCCAGGCGCCACCGGTGGCCTGATGGACCTCTCTAAGAGTCCTGTCTTCTAGAACCTGTCTTATCGTTATGTCGACAGTACCACCTGTAAGAATTAAACGACTCCATAATTAATCAAATAGGCAATCATTATGTAACAAACAATGATAAAAGAAAGACAACAAGTGCGTATAAATGACGATTTTGCTGTTAAAACTTAACTAAATCATCGGTTAAGAATGATTTCCTTAAAAATCTTATTTTGGATTTTTCAAATTACCGCGAGCTTTAATACGAGTGGCGGAAGAAGCTGCAAACATATTGCTTTAGCAAAATTATGACATAAACAAAAATGAAACAAAATAAAACGAAGTGGTACTTTTACATAAAAAGCAAGTATGTTTCTGTAATATGCAGTCAAGCATTTAACGCGATATCACCATATTTTTCAAAGTTATAAGAAATGCGTAACGAGCTGAAAATATTGAATTATTTTGATGGATAAGGAACTCCAAAGGCCCTGGATAATTATTTTTTACGATGATAGACTATTGCTTAAAAGCAGATGTAGATACTGAGTAACGAAACGATTAAAATTAATACTTTAACATGATAATAATTGATTGTATATGTTTTTTGTATAAATGTGCAAATTGGGTTATCTATTAGTTAGGCACTGCCAATACTACCAAGAAACAGAATATAATCCTTCTAGCAACATTCTTCTCCCCAAGTTTTTTTTTAAAGTGGGGGAAACAAGAATAAGCCCATCAGTACCATCGAAATAAAACACATTTCAAATATCACAAAATATTTTTAAGAAAATGAACTCTCAAAACTGAAAATAAAAACAAATATGATATGTTAAAATACCTCCTAGATCCACTACCATATATTTAGTGCCCGGATCATATGGTGCCAGGAAAGCAGTGCCATCTTCATTGAACTTCCGCTGGGACAGTTGCTCCTTCGTGAATATTGATGCAGCTTCCGGTTCCAATGCAATTACCAGCTGGAATCTCTCAATGCCTGCCTAAAGTATATAATTAGTACGGAGACTGTGGAAATGACACATCAATGAGATTACTACATACAAGTAGATAACACCATGGTAAGAACACAAAACGACAAAATATAACCCAAAAAAGTCAAGGAAATCTAAACAGAACCAAAAACATCATATACTGTGAACTCACTCATTTTCATTCGGTTTTTAATAGTAATTACCAGTTTGATATAAAGAAATATTCCATTTGAGTTGGTACTGGTAATCCACGAATCCATGTCCCCATGAATGGTGGTTTGTCGGGAAACCTTATTATTCTTACAGTAGTCAATCCTAACAGTCATACCAAAAGTATGATGAACTACTTAATTGTACTTGCACTAAACTAGTTTTCCTCCATCAAATTCAGTAAATGAGTTGTCGGCCAAATGCTAGTTTAAAACAAGGGCAGATTTACTTAAAACTCTGAAACATGTCTAAAGTATAAAGTCAGCCAAGACATTTTTACAAATGTTGTAGAAACCAAAGAACTCATTAATTAATATTATTAATAATAATAAAAATTCGAGTTTGTTATATACCGCCTTATCACAACCTAGTTCGTAGGTCGCCTCAAAGCTGTTCCCAAATTATCATCCATGGTTATGGGGCCTTTGCAATCAACTAATATCTTTCTCAACCTCCTGGGGAGCATACAGCCGATGCTGCCATTTCGGCACTCACAGCTAGCATTCAAAAATTCTAGCGCTGCCCACCAACGAACTAATTTACAGCCGTGACGCGACTCGAACCTGCAACCTTTCTATATGAATGTCAACTGGACACAAACAAATTCAATGAAGCGCACTATCACTTCATGTCGGATATGTCTATATTAAGTTGGAATTCATATTGCCTATGAATGCCAACTTAGAGCAGTTCAATTATTATATTTACCAATTTTGGGAACCTGTTCACCCATAGAAAATTCAACTACACTTACTATTATTGGACATTTCGTTCAAATAATAGTATCGTTTATGATTATTCAGTGAATAGAACAGCCATCGCCCAGGGAGGGTCAGTGGTATCCATCGTAATAATAATGACGTCATAATAATGATGAGGTCAGAAATCGGTCCATGTCATTCATAGTCTATTTAGTGGCAATGTCATACGATGGTAAATATTACTCAATATTCCGGGGTATTCAACCCTAATTACCTGTTCGGCGGCCTCCCTCATGAACTGTTTAGCAGAATCTCCCCAGATGGCAGGCATGGTAATCACCCATCTGACCTCATTCGCTCGGATAAGATCCCCTTTGGTTTTCAATGTCTTCATTGTTTCATCCCGGAGATACTTAATGCANCATGGTAATCACCCATCTGACCTCATTCGCTCGGATAAGATCCCCTTTGGTTTTCAATGTCTTCATCGTTTCATCCCGGAGATACTTAATGCATTCCGAGAACACCAGCATTGCAGGCAGGGCATGACCTTGCTCGTCTTTGATCTCAGCATCCCTCTTTAACCCCTAGGATTGTAAAAATATTCATCACTATTTAATATTCAAGATTCGTGATGTGAAAATTAGAATTATTCGATTTATACTAATTAATATGAAAATGGCCTGCACATCACATACAACTTCATATTTCTAGAATCGGAATTGAACAATTTACATACTTATATATTCATCATCAAAGACACATCATCAATACAATTAAAAGTAAAAAACCGTACGCAAAGTTGATGCGAACGTAAAACAAAAAACCTCTTACACAAAATCGATATGAATGAAAAATACTTTAACGCAAAGTTGATATTATTTAATCAAAAAGAGTAGACACAATAAGAAAAGGAACATATATTTCATCGCCACAAAAAAAGAAGAAGCAAAACTAGGCGCTTCCGAAAGGTAATCGTACGACAAATGGCACCCGTCATGTGGTGTTCAGGAAAGCATCGTGTCAACAACGATGTAAGAGAATGTACATGTCTTTAAGCACGACAGACATTAAAATATCATCAGCAAAAAATAGGATTTTGATGACATCTGTTACATTTTAGCAACATAGATAAAACAAATAAACCATAACGTTAATACGGTGGAAAGGAAAGGGAACTTTATATAAGGGGAGTTTATTGCTATAAGTAGGCATAGCTAGATAATTCTAATACCGGGATATGAATTCTGGAGGCTGACTGACAACGTGTACCTACATCTTGAAATTCTTGAAATCGGAAGGTTGATAGTCCAGGTACAGATTCACATTTTATAAAGATAGAAAAATAAATATGTTTGATATGTTGCAAAGTTCAAATCTGAGTAAAGCGGCTTGAACCATCAGAAATTATAAAATACAGGAAAATGCATGCAATTTCATGTTATTATCGTTCTAGCTGAATGTGATTATAAAGTTGTTTCTACGACACCCCTTACTTCGTCTGTATGAAGTAGCATCTTAAAGTTCTTGAAGTACCGATAGCCATAATGGGCGTTTTCCTCGGCCAGTTCCGCATACTGGTCTTCTGCGTCATAGCCGAAAGCCTCAAATGATTTATTGGAAGAGAGGAGGAGACAGGTCGGGGTCTTGTGTGACATCACTCCTGTTCCCTTCGTGCTATGCCATACTCTTGCGTCAATCTGAAGTGGCTGACGCTCGTAATCTCCAACAAATGAGTATGCGACTCCCGAGAATGTCGTTCCAAAGTCAATAGCAGCCACTGCTAACATCTTAGGACGAACGGGACTAAAATGTCAATTAAAAAATAAAAATAAACAAAAAACAGCAATAGCATTTACATACAAAGACAAAATATACTACAGATTCTACACCAAAGAATGAAATATACCATGATTTCAACACAACAAGACCCAAACCAACCACGTGAGCTTTCTGCGGGTAGTTTTGTTTCCTCTAACATTAAGACCTTCTGCGCGCTTCCATCCGGGCAAACAAGACTGATTGAGATAAGTTAGAAAACCCGTTTAAGAATTTTCGTAAAATAATTTTTAACAAATTTATATTTCATAACACACCAGGACAAAATAATTCTGTTCTTGGTACCGAATTCGAGTTCCAATTCGGTATGAAAAGACAACAATAGGAACTTCGGAGATACAGAATTAAGGAAAGACGTTCAGAACTTCCTCAACAATGGGTTCTCCCAAAGCACTATTTCAAGATTTCAAGTGCACATACTAACGCGGGGGTGTCGTATATAACTCTATCAACCACACTTTTGATGTCAACGTAATGCTCTTCCTCGTCATCGTCCCTGCTATATACATTACTGGCCATTTCTGTCACCGGTTTATGCGCCCCTATATGCACCCTGTAAATGTAAAATGACTTGATCAAGATTAAAATGGTGATGAAAAAGAACACATGCTTTTATTCAGCATGTAATTTTCCAAGCATGTACATTTTTATTTTGTTCTAATTCTATCATAGTTTTATCAATTTCTAGTTTGAATTACAATTTTGTGGAATATTACATATTTTTTAACATGGTTAACAGACCGTATCATCAATTCCCTCTAGCTATTTGTCTATCCGAGTAAATTTTGCTTTTACAATTTATGGGAGTACACTTAAAATGCCTTACCTAATTGTTCATGCCTCTATCTACTACCCATGTCCATATATACAGTCCGTGTCCCTATCTACTGTTCATGGGCCTACATACTGGCCATGTCCCTAACTACTGTCCATTATCATTACTATTGCCCGTAACCCTATCTACTGTTCATGCCCCTATCTACTGTCCATGCCCCTATCTACGGTCGATTCCCCAAACTACTGTTCATGGGCCTACATACTGGCCATGATCCTAACTACTGTCCATGACCCTAACTACTGGCCATGTCCCTAACTACTTTCCGTTCTCATTACTACTGTCCACGTCCTTGTCTACAGTCCATGTTCCTAATTACTGTCCATTCTCCTTTCTACTGCCCGTGTCCTTATCTACAGTCCATGTCCCTAACTAGTACTACTGTCCGTTTCCCTTACAATTGTACTACGTTCCATGCCCCTAACTACTGTACATGTCCCTAACTGCTGTCCACGTCCTTGTCTACAGTCCATGCCCCTAATTACTGTCCATACTTCTAACTAATGCCCGTGTCCTTATCTACAGTCCATGTCTCTAACTACAGTCCATGTCCTTATCTACGGTCCATGTCCCTAAATACTGCCCATGTCCTTATCTGCAGTCCATGTCCCTAATTACCCTTATCTGCAGTCCATGTCCCTAATTACTGTCAATTCTCCTTACTACAGCCCATGTCCTTTTTACAATCCATGTCCCTAATTACTGTCCATTACTGTCCATTCTCCTTTCTACTGCCGTGGCCTTATCTACAGTCCATGTCTCTAACTCCAGTCCATGTCCTTATCTACGGTCCATGTCCCTAAATACTGCCCATGTCCTTATCTGCAGTCCATGCACCTAATTACTGTCCATTCTCCTTACTACTGCCCGTGTCCTTATCTACAGTCCATGTCCCTAATCACTGTCCATTCTCCTTCTACTGCCCATGTACTTATTACAATCCATGTCCCTAATTACTGTCCATTCTCCTTACTACTGTCCATGTCCTTATCTAGAGTCCATTGTCCATTCTCCTTTCTACTGCCTGTGTCCTTATCGACAGTCCATGTCCCTAAATACTGTCCGTGTCCCTAAACACTTCCCATGTCCTTATCTACAGTCCATGCTCCTAATTACTGTCCTTTCTCCTTACTACTGCCCGTGTCGTTACTACAGTACATGTCCCTAACCACTGCCCATTCTCCTTTGTACTGCACGTGTCCGTATCGACAGTCCATGTCACTAACTACTGCCCGTATCCTTCTCTGCAGTCCATGTCCCTAATTACTGGCCATTCTCCTTACTACTGTCCATGTCCTTGTCTACAGTCCATGTCCCCTACAGTCCATATCTTTAACTACAGCCCATATCCTCATCTACAGTGTATGTCCCTAATTACTGTATTACTGTCCATTCTCGTTACTACTGTCCATGTACTTATTACAATCCATGTCCCTAATTACTGCCCATTCTCCTTACTACTGTCCGTGTCCTTATCTACAGTCCATGTCCAAAAATAGTTTCCATTCTCCTTACAACTGCCCGTGTCCTTATTACATTCCATGTCCCTAATTACTGCCCATTCTCCTAACTATTGTCCATGTCCTTATCTAGCGTCCATGTCCCTAAATACTGTCCATTCTCCTTACTACTGCCCTTGTCCTTATCTACAGTCCATATCTTTAACTACAGCCCATATCCTTATCTACAGTTTATGTCCCTAATTACTGCCCATTCTCCTAACTATTGTCCATGTCCTTATCTAGAGTCCATGTCCCTAAATACTGTCCATGTCCTTATCAGCAGTCCATGTCCCTAATTACTGTCCGTTCTCCTTACTATTGTCCGTGTCCTTATCTACAGTCCATGCCCCTAATTAATGTCCATTCTACTTTCTACTGCCCGTGTCCTTATCGACAGTCCTTGTCCCTAACAACTGCCCGTGTCCTTATCTGCAGTCCATGCACCTAATTAATGTCCTTTCTCATTACTACTGCCCGTGTCCTTATTACAGTCCATGTCCCTAATTACTGTCCATTCTCCTTACTACTGCCCATGTCCTTATCT